GTTGCAATTTTGTTCATAATTGGGTCTTAAACCCTTTTTAATCATTGAGTTCCTCAAAAGTGGAAAAATGATTTCTTCACTCGAATTTCTGACCCAAAATAGTAGAAAATGACTAAAGTACTCCAATCATCCCATCACACTTCTCTTCACCTTCAAGCTCCACCTCCTTGCCATATGCCCAGAATGATGGCTCATACCCACATGCCTTTATTAATAGTGGTTTGGCCACGGGGGACAACAGAGCCCAGGAAACTAACCCAGAAGAAGAACGAGAAGGTAGGCGTGGAGAGAGGAAGGAGAAGGATAAGGAAGGGGATCAGTTGTCACTTTTGACTTTGTTGGTGGTTGCTTTTAGGAAGTCTTTAATTGGGTGTAGTTTTTCTTCTAGTAAAGAGTTTTGCTCTATGGAGATTGGAGTGCCCACCAATATCAAGCATGTTGCCCATGTGACGTTTGATAGGTTCAATGGGTTTCTTGGTTTGCCAGTTGAGTTTGAGCTGGAGGTTCCCAAGAGGGCTCCCAATGCCAAGTCAGTTTTGTAATGAGGTCTCCTTATTTTCCCACTTTTTGTTTTGTTTTCCCCCTTAGGCTTTGTGATTGTTATGTTCAGAATGTGGACTTTTCTTCATGTTTGCTGAGACAAATTTCCATAGGATTGCTGAACATCAGTCCTTTGGCAATTAAAATGCCAAAAATGATAATGAAAAGACTTAAACACCCTCTCATTTTCATATTCCTTATGTATTTTGTTCTAGGTAGTCAATATAGGTGGGAAGGATGTATGTCTGAGATTGGGAGATTGATGCAAATTTGAACTACTAAAGTCCTAGTCTTCCTTTACCTTGTCAACCTTGTTGAATAACCAATATCAACAGTCAGCTAAGCTTTTTCTGTTTATCAGTTAGGAATCATACACATGAGCCTTTATCAATTTTGTGGCCAATGCCCTTTTTAGACATAACTTGACTGATGCTTGCTTAAGTTCTATATTTTCTTGTTGCGGTATTGCATTTGCATAATTTTGTTGTTTATAGTGAAAAAATTAACAATCTGGGAATAGATTGACTTCACTTTCTCTGTGATCAGCAATGCTAATATTTATCTAATGATTTAATCCTCCTTTGGTTCTCCAACCATCATCAAAGCTTTGGGGCTAATTTTAGTCAGGTATTTTTCTTGTGTAGTACAATTGTATTTGGAGTTTCAACAGAATCTATGCAGCCTTCATTTGACTCTAGAGAGAATAGTGTACCAACAATACTTTTGCTGATGCAAAAGCACTTGTATGCCCAAGGAGGCTTGCAAGTCTTAGTTAAGCCATCCTTTCTTTACTGTCTTGTGGTTTTAAACTTTAAAGTTGCTCAAAGTATCCAATTTTAAGTGTTAGATAAATTTACTAAACACTGTAGGTTGAAGGAATTTTCAGAAGTAACGCTGAGAATGGCCAGGAAGAGTATGTAAGGGAACAGTTAAACTTGGGAGTGGTTCCTGATGACATAGATGTGCATTGCTTGGCAGGTCTTATCAAGGTATTGCTTTGCCTTTTGATCTTAACTGGCCTTATTTTTGCTCCTTAAACATGTGTCTGGTACATATAGGTGTACAAGGCATCTCTATGGTTTGTCTTTATTTAACTTCTTTTTAATGAGCAATTTTATCCATTTATAAAACTAAAAATTGTTCATGGCTTAAGAACAATTTTCTTCTTTCTTTTCCTTGTAAAATTGTTGCATGTTGAACAAATATATTGCATATCTGCATTTCATTGGTTCTTTCGTTTATCTGCAGGCCTGGTTTAGAAAACTTCCAAGAGGTGTTTTGGACACTCTTTCAGCAGAGCAGGTGATGCAATCCCAGACAGAAGAGGAATGTGCTAGGCTTGTGAGGCTCCTTTCGCCAACAAAAGCAGCTCTGCTAGATTGGGCTATAAATTTGATGGCTGATGTTGCACAAATGGGGCATCTGATCAAAATGAATGCACGTAATATTGCAATGCTGTTTGCACCAAACATGACTCAAGTGAGTGATCCTTTTCTACCTTTTTCAACCTCCAAACCTTTTCTACTTTATACAAGGAAAAATTTGCATACCAAAATTAACTTGAAGTCAATGTGATATAGTTGGGA